GTAACTAAGGCAGGGAGGGTGAGCAGGACACCATCCTGAGACACCAAATTATAAGGGGGCACAAAAATAGCAGGGACCACCGCTGGTTCAGCCACTGATGGTGCATGCGCCACTGCAGAATGGCCCACGTACACCTTTGGGGATGGGTTTGCACTGCCTGACAGATGCCCCTCTGAAGCACCGTTGCCAGCAGTGCTGACTGCAGTTAGCAGTAGGAAAGCTTCCCTAAGGTCTGTAACAAGCCCACTCCTTACTGCACAATTTAGGGCCTTTACCCACAATAAGTTGCATGCACAAAAACTCCTTTTCCTACCCCTAACCCCCTGTTTGGAGCCATCACTGGGACTCCATATGGCCATGATGATCAACCAGGGTGCCACAACATCCTGGAGTACCTTGAGGTCCTTTCAAGGGTGCCATCTGGTGCCACACCATGTTAGCACTGTTAGGTATGCAAAAATGATTCACAAGATAAACCCTGACAGAAACTCATAGCGTTGGTCTTTCTGAGCTCTTCGCATCAGCAACACTGCTCTATTATTTTTCTCTGCGGTCACAAAAAATGAAAGCTAAGAGCTGGCATTTTCCAAGGGGTGCTGCAGGTCTATCCAGGGATGCCTCATGTCTAAAAAAGGTGGAGACCCACTGCCACGTGGCACAAAGGCCCAGGGATAGGAGCCACCAAGTGCTGGGATGGGACATTTCTGGAAGCCATGAAGAGTGTCCTATTCCCATCACTGTGCAAGACGCACAGCCAGACGTTTCCCCTCACCCCTTGGCAATTTAGGAAACACGGATTGCTTGGATCTGATCCTGCAAGAGACCGCACCTTCCCCACACCAATACACACTGATTTTTCATCACACCAGTGGGAGCTATGGGCACTCAGCATCTCAAGGGATGGGACCTTGCGATTGCTTTGGTTCATCTTAATGCATGCATTTCATGGCTGAACGTTTTGCATAATGGCCTTTCATTGTTCCCTACTAAAGCCCTTGAAATAAAAGATTTCATATGTTATATTCTTTCATTATACGGGGAAATAAATTATCTCAGCAGCACTCCATAGGCTTGCACCATGGTATGCTGACTTCTGCTTTACATTTTAATAACCATTATTCCAACCCTTCTTTCTTTCCTGCTCCTTACCTCCTCTTGTATAAAATACCATTTATTCCACTAAAGGGAATTAGATCAGGTCCTCTCTTCTGATTAGTTTATAGTATTAGTAGGAGCAGAAATCAAGGAATTTTCACTATTTTTTTTTAAGACGGCCGTTTCAAATATTCCGAATTAGCGTTCCTCAAAGCATGAGTCTCTATACACATATATACATGTATACATATGCATATAAAAATAATGGGATGCAGCTTCTTAAAAAAAGGGGGGGAGGGGGTGCTTTGCAGTGTGAGAATGAGATCTGAAAACACTGGGACAAGTGTAGGTGAGACTTCCAAAGTTCATATTTTTCAACTGAAAACTCCAGTGAATTCAAGGTTTTCACCAGCATTGCATAGGAACAGCCTTCCCTTCCTACAAAAGTCAAATCTAATAATAGACAAAAACCTTGCACAAGGTGTGTATTCATGATTTCAACAAGCTACGGATCCTGGGCACCTTTTTTCAAAATCTGACTTATTTTGGGGGGCAGGGGGTCACTTTGCTAGCACAGCTGCTTTGCTATCAATGCTATTTAATTAGAGTCAACTTCTCTAGCTTCCTTAGGAGTTTTTGCTGAACTAAATTAAAAAGCCATCAGACAGCACTGCAGAAAGTAGCCATTAAAAATTTATGATGTAGTCCGTGGGTGAAATCAATCTCTGGCCTGCAGACCAGGTCCAGCCTGTGGCCCTATCATCTGGCCTGTGGGGCTCCCCACGGGTTCAGAGACTTGGTAGTTGGGCAGCAGTGACATCACTCCCCTGCTGCCAAATCTCTGACCCACCAGGATCTCCAGGCCCTGCACGCTGGATTCAGCGCACAATCCCAGCATGCAGGGCCAGAAGAGGCAGCACCGGGTGTGGTGGCCAGGAGGGGACAGTGTCAGACCTCCAGGACCCAATCTCAGCACATGGGAGAAGGGTGGAAGCAGTGCCAGGCTCCAATTGGGCCCACAAACAGGCCCTGTGCCACTCATCTGGCCCACGGGGCCAAAAGGTTGAGCACCACTGGTCCAGTCCACATGTGGCATCAATTTATCCCCTACGCCAGCCATGTCAGATACCGTAATTACCATGAACAAATTTTTTTATTTTTTTTTTTTAAACAACAAAAAAGTTTGGGGATTAAATAGGCTGTGTGATCCTTAACTATTCTGCATGTCACTGTGGTGTTGGTTTGTTAAAGGCAGTTTTTCCTTCCTAGCAAAATGCACAAACCCACATCAAGAGCATAGAAAGCACTAAGGAGTTCAAGACTATTTTTCCTAGTGACCAATATTTTCCCAAACAACGATCTATATGCAATTAGGTCACATTCAAAGCAGGCATCTGTGAACAGGTTGAGCTGCCCCATTTAGAGAAACTTCACACTTCTATCGCCTTAGGAACTGTCCTCCTTTAGCAGAGTCTCTGATCCTCCTGCCTTCTTTTATCAGCACCTTCAAAAGAAAAACGGCACCATAATTCCTTGCTCAACTCGCTTCAGAAAAAGGGTAAAGCGGCTGTTCTTTTCCATTTAGCAGCTCAAGAAGAATCATCCTTCAAGCAGTTGTTTCATTACAAAATATAAGGGAGAGAGATTTAAGTGCAGGGCAGTACAAGAGAATAATGTTCTCACACCCCATCACTCTAGGTATTACCTCTCTTTTGCTGCATTGAAATCCCTTGATAGCAGAAACGCTTCCCTTGACTCCATCTCTTTCAAAAGGCGCAATAGTTTAAACCTTATATTTGAAATAGGTACACCCTTCTTGGCACCACTAGTTCATACCCCTGGCACCATGGACTTTGACCTTTCAAGTACCATTTGGCTGCAGCATATTCCCAAATAAAAATGAAGTGAGGGGGAGTTGGAATTGTTGCAACCTGTCCTCTTCAGCCTATACGTCACCTTGAGTCGCATCTAGTCGGAAAAGGGCAGGTTTCTAATACAGTAAATATAAAACCTACCATTTTTTCCCCTAGCGAACAACATGCCTCAGAGTTTGGAGCATATATACTTACATATTGGCAAGTGGGTACAAGACTGAAAGAGACCTACATTCTTACCCATCACTTGATTTGACCAGTTGCATGTAGCAAAATCTAGGTTGACATGCTGTATTTTCTAACATGCGTTTCCCCAAAACCAATTGTTGGAAATGGCGGGGGTGAGGGGGGGGACATTATAAGTGGGAGAATATGGTAACAATATTTTTTGCCCCTTCCGCTTCTGCATGCGATCCACAAGCAGAACAATGTGCAGGCCCAGGACCCCAGCTGCTGCTACAAGGAAAAAGCTTTTTCCTTCATTCTGCCTTTCAAAAACAAGGTGTACATCTTACCCCAGGGCATGTTGTACATGAGAGAATATGGTAATTTGCTTGAGAATGAAATGAAGGGGAGAAGTGTAGGAAGAAAAGCTGAACATGATCACACTAAACCTCGAACCACTTGGACAGCTGTGTAAATAAGTCGAGGAGTCCGAATTGCATCCTACCTCTAAATCTGTTACATGGGTTGTGCTTCCAGGGCATATATTTAGGGGGTCTACTTAAACCACGTTTAGACGTACCAATTTTCACGGGTTGGTCATGGCATAAAGAGCAAACTCTATGGACATTTCACAGATGTGCCCCGGCAGCCCCACCCCTTGGCACCGATTGGCTGAGAAGCCCCGGGGGCGGGGAGGGAGAACGATGAGGGGATAGTGGCCATCTTTTTTACCTCCCTTCATAATGCCTTGCCAGCCAGTGCCTTCTCCTCTCAGGCAGGCTGCAGAGCTGGGCAACAGCAGCAGCAAGGACCCCTGGCTCCCACTGGGGAGCCAGCATTTTATTTTTTATTAAATTCTTTGTTGTTGCTGCTTTCATGGACAATCCCCGATTTTGCAGTTTCCACAAATTCTGCAAACCACAATTTAAAGTAGACCCCTACACATATTTAATGAAACCTAGAAAAAAAAAAATCTCCTCTCCTCTACATGCCCTTTGCATAATAAAATACCACAGGCTAGATCACTCCTTGATCTCTGAATCAAAATCCAAGAAGGAAAAATCCAGCGACTTTGGTTAAAAAACAAATTGGCCTCTAGCATTAATACAGCTCCAATCTGTTTTCATAGGCTGGCTAAGCTGTGAGTTCAAACATACTACCTTAGTGCTTCGTCCAGTCGTTTTCAGTGGCTGTATTAATGGGGATCTCCATGTTCAATGACAGCATCCACCATCTTCACATTCAGTTCACTGTATGACAATACGCAGAACAAATGTAACAGCTCAGAGTGACAAGTGAAACAGCTTCAATTTAGCAAAGAGACAAATCGAGCTTATTTTCCAAATGTTCTGGGCCAGTCACTGTTTGTGTTACAAGACTGTAATGCACGTGTGGTTAGGTAGTGATTAATAGCTTAACTCGGGGCTGTCCAATTGGTGGCCCACTAGCCATATCTGTCCCCCAAGGGGTAAACTGAGGCTCCCAAGCTCCCAGTATGAGCATCGCTGTTGCTCTCCAGCTGCTATCACTAGAATCACTAGCCTCCCCCTCCCTCCTCCTGCTTCCTGACCCATGCCCAAAGGGGCAGGACAGCATGGCCCAGAGCTGAGGTTCGGCAGCTTGGGGGCCCATGGAAATGCAGGGACCCCCCCAGCGCAGCACACAGGGGACCTGACAGCGTCAGTGCAGTGCAGTGGTGGTGGGGAGAAACATGATGCGGCAGCACTACAGTGCTGGGAGATGGGGAGGGCACGAGGCACAGCATGCAGCCTTTGCAGTGTGAAGCTGGACACAAGTTGGGCAGCCCTGGCTTAACTCCCCTATTTCTGATGGATTTCAGCAGCTTCTGAAATGATAAAGGAACACAGCCATTATTTAAAAAAAGCCATTTATTGTTTCACTAACCATATTAGATAACTATATACATATTTACACATGCAAAAAAATGACTTTACATACATTTACACCAGTTCAATCGTTATTACAGTGCAATTTTTTTTAAAAAGGTACCAGACAGCCTTTCAGGAAGTTTTAAACAGATCTTTGGGTTAAACCAATATAACAAAGATAGGAGGTAAAATGCCAATTTTAACGGTTTCATAAAATGGGTAACCAACGATGTTTGTTCTTAGCAATTTTCTTGCGCTACACTCCAAGACGAACAATGGATTTTCCAAGGACTTAATCTCAAAATTGACAGAGTTAAGTGGAGAGAGAGTTGAGCTGTTTTAAATGGTCAAAGGTTCTGAGAAAGACACCAATTCCCTTTTAAAGATCTCATTTGAGGTGCACGTAATCCGACACTCTGACCCACACTACGGGGACTCAAATGGCAAGACGTTCCTTTTATTAAGTCTTGAAGGGCTCAAAATCAGGGTGAACAACATTTTTTCCCCGCCTTCCTGAAAGGAAGTACAAAAGCTATAAATCTTAAAGAAAGAAGAAAAAAAGAATTAGGATGTGCAATGTTGAACTAGATCACTCCTTAATCTCTGAATCAAAATCCAAGCAAGTAAAAATGCTTAGAAGTGAACACGTGTATTCAGTGCACATGGCCTCACATGGGTTTTGCAGCCAGACTTACCCACGTTATAGAACAAAAATCCCCCTTAAAAAGAGCAAGGACAAAGCAATTAAGATTGGTAATCCCAACCAGAGCAGTGTTCAATCACTATACCAGTCTCACCTTGCATCTAATCTCAAGACAATTACGTTAAGGAAGGCAGAATTTTGTACTAATGAGCTTTTTTTTTCTTTTCCTAAAGGATCTCATGTCAGGGGAACCCTCTACGGCAACCCAATGACACGCTTTAAGCCTCTGCAGCAGCAGATTGTGGAATCCAGGCTTTGGCAATTCCAGTTCAGACATTACACAACCTACCCCAGCAGCCTGCTCCCCTTGCTTCATAGTGTATCCCTAGGCACTGGCCCTAACTGTAAGAGCTCCAGGTGCCCAAGTCCAGGCAAAAAACCTGTACTTGACGCATCTTTTAGAGACAAGTAAATCCCCACCCGAATCATGGTCCATGGAAGATGGGGGAAATGGGGGGGAGGAGGGAATCCTGTTACGATTTCTTTTTAATAACTATTTTCCCATTTACAAATGAAGCTCCTAGCCCTTTTCCTGTAGGTATGACCTTCCCCATTGAAAAGAGTAGGCTGTTACCTGATTAAGGGTGCCAAAAGGTCCAATGCACATCTAGAAGGAGAATTTAGAAAAATCCTGCAAAACCCTGTTGGCGCAAAAATAACCAACCACCACCAACCAAAACAACACGATTGTCTTTGGGACACTGGACCTATTCAAACACAATGAGTTTTCTCCATTCCCCCCACTCATTTTACCTGCACATTTCCTCATATAAAGTCAGTAATAACCTAGGTTCACTCTAGTCTAACCCATGGGTGCGCAACCTCTGATCCATGAGCCAAATGCAGCCTGCGGAGCCATCACATCTGGCCCGCGGGGATCCTCGCAAGTCACAAAGTTTGGTGGCACGGGAAATTTGGTGGCATGGTGAGCCAGGCCAGGCTGTGACCCCTGCCCCCCCAGGACAACGGAGAAGAATGCATGAATCACACGTTGAGGGGGAAAAGCAGACGTCAGTGCAATATTCAGACACTTGAGCCATAACTGCCTCATTCTACCACACAGTTGTGCCACAGAGGTTGTCAGAAGGAAGCAGAAGATTTTTCCTGCTTTTTGCATTTCAGGTGCGATTTGAATAGTAGCTGCATGTTCCACTGACTACTAGAGCAGAAAGTTAATTCTGATGAAAGTTGACATGGGCTTTTACATATTTTAAGGCTTCAAAATAGACCCACCGAGATGAAGGGGAAAATTAATTCATCGGGCAGCTTATTTCAGACTGCCAACAGATTCAAAACGACAGCTCCCCAACAATTTCTTTTTTCTGCAACTACTAGAAATAGAGACTTTGTAAATTAAAGACAAAATTCTTGGCAATTTTTTCATTCTATAAAATAGAGGGCCCCACCATAAAACACACTAACAAAAAAGATCTAATAAAGTACCTCCAAAATATTACACCTGGCGTTTCCTTTAAAATGTCCCAATATGGTGATTCTTCCCTAACTCTCCAAGGATAGCTGCACCAAAACTGTTATCTATTCTTTAAACAGACGGAATAAAATATTTAAAAAGGTTTAAGAGAAGTTTTAAATGTTACTATATACTTCAACACATTAAATATATGCATATTCAGTGCAGCAGGGGTTGAGAAAGTCAGCTTTTAATGACTATATTCAAAAATGCATGCTCATAAATTTGCCTAAGCATGAGAGCTGCAGTACTAGTAGCCAAAGGGGTCTGTAAAATAGAGAACCTGCTCTTGCTCTCCATTATGGGGAACTGCTTTCTAGTCACAAACCATATACTTTTAATAGGTGAAGCAGCCATCAGATTGTCCCAAATAAGCTTTTGTCTCTGTAGACCAGACAGACGTACAACTGCCCTATCCGCCACCATGACCTCCACCAGGAAAATAAAAGGCTACTCAGGCCGAAAGTTTGATTACATCTGCTTGGATCATTTTATACAGCTTCAAGCTGATCTGCAATTGCCCAATGAGTGCACACCTACTAAACCTCAAGACATCCAGCTTAACCACAGGACATTGCCCGTTCTGATTTTGAGTAAGGGCCAAGGTGTTTTTCTTCCTTTCTGAGCCCAACCGTTCTAGCTCACTTTTAAGACAGTTATTCACTAGAAGTCATTTTCCCCCCAAAGCAGTTACCGACTAACCTAACTCTTCCTCAGCTCATTTTTGTTAAGCGCCTTGAGCTCTACATATGAAGAGCTCTACAACCGTTATTATCCACCATTTAGTCCGTCATGACTTTAACATCCATCTTTATATCGTCCAGAGGCAAATTGCTGCGTTTGCACATTAAAATACTAAATGGTTACAAAGCAAATGAGATGAATTGGGGGGGGGGGGAAGGACAAGGACTAGATGATGTTGGTTAAGGAACACAACAAAGACTGAGTAATAAAGATCCCTCATGGCACTAAGAACTAATAACCACTTACAACCAGAGCCAGTACACGGGGTAGGTCCAGCATGGGCAGCTCATGCAATGAGCCCCATGCCAGCTCCGTGCACAAGTACCAGCACACACCGCATGCAACACGCAGGGCTGGCTCAAGACATGTGCTGGATGAGCTAGCCCTGCTGGATAAGCCCTGGATGCTGGCTCCAGCAGACGGGCCGGGCCGGTCCACGGGTCTGAGCCATCCTGCAGACCAGTCCCACATCCCTCATCCAGCCGGCAGACCAGATGAGATTGGCATCCCTGACCTACAATGTACAATTACAATATATGGTTATGAAAAGCAATTAAATCCCTCCACATATTTTTCCAAGCTGTTTCAAAATCCCTTGGGACAACCATTGTTGCAGATCTTTAAGAAAGTCCAAGTTGGTTTTGGCCAGTGTGAGTAAATACAAAAAGAGTTCTTAAAAAGCAAGTAACAAATCCCCGGTTTGTTTTCATACTCCAGGATCAGGCTGTTTCTCCACCAGTTGCCTTGTCAGGATCTGATATGAAGAAAGAGAGGCCACTCCTATGTGGAAGAGTATTTGCCAGATGTTCCTTAATCCATACAAGTACATATTGCATAGACAAATGGAGAAAACCAGTACAAACACCTTCATCTTCCTTGCTGAACTGTAGAACAGGTACAAGTAACACTAGAACAGCACAAAAGAAGTCATGTTAGCATCCAATTGATGATACATACACACAGATCGCATGAATTATCAGCACATATGTCTGGGTGTCAAGAAGGTGAAAGCTTCCTCCGAGTCTTATCGGTTACACTGTCGGAAGGGGGTGGGTGGCCTAAATGTTGATGTTGCTGAATAATCTACAATGAAAGGAATCCACCAATGCAACAGTATTCTTGTTGGCTCAAAAAAGGAGCAGCATGGATTCACTGAGCATGAAACTAAACTACCTTTTGACATCTAGGTGTAATCTTTATAGGTCAAGGTTGATGCTCAATGGCAGGCAGACATATTTACTCTTACTTCTGTTGTACCTAGTCAGGGCTCCAGGGCTAAACAAGGTATTACCAGAACAGAATTCACTTCAAGCCAGATAATGTCATTTCTATTAACGAGGGGTTTCAGAGTGAGGGTTCTCTGAAACTCCCAAGGCAGGGGTCACCCAGTACTTCAATATATTTTAAGCATTTCCCGATAGTGTCTAATGACACAAGGTAACAGGCTACAAGGGCTGTTTAACTTGAGCAGTAGTCACTCGAGCGTTAACACTGAAAGTCCCAGGTTTGCATCACATCGATGATACAAACAGGGCTGACTTTGTAGGCAGCACTACTCATTCGAGTGTATTTTATGTCTAATCACTCCATGAAGCTGTATGACCGCGGCCTAAGATGGTAAACAGGCCAAAATAAAGTTTGCTTGCACTTCCCTATCTCAGGTGAGAAGGGAGGGGAGGGGAGAGATGGAGCAGATCTAGTCTGCCAACAGGTCCAGTTGACACGCACTCAAGTTTTAGGAACAGATCTCTATCTCCACCAAATGATAGTTGGATGTGAAACACCAGCCCAAAAGAAGCTACATTTTTCTCTCTCATATGCCTGCAAAAGACAATACTCCTGAGAAAGTCAGCAACTGTAGGATCGGAGCCTAAGACCTCTGGATCTAAAAGCATAAGAGACTTGACTGCATGAGCTGAGAAGATTCAAGCCAGTCTTACCTCAGGGCAGTAGCAGCCTCAAACCTCTGGGGTTTAGCTACCAGAAGGGGATGCATATTGCAAGCATGTTACCTATATACCCAAGTGCGGAGTGGCTTCACTTAAGCTGCATCTTCCTTTTGTGGGCAGGGAAAACAATCCAATGAATTTAAAAGGATTCTGAAATACTCTCTTGCTGAACTGTATTGCAGAATGAAGGTGAGCTAGAAGTCATGAGATGCACCAAAGGTGTAATCCTGGAGTACCCCTTTTTAATCCTGAAGTGACTTTTTTGCTCTGTTTCTGAAATAGTGCCTAGACAAAAAAAAAATCTGAGCTATCACACTGCATTTTAATAAGCATTTGCCCATGGCACTGTAACACAGCAAACAACAGCTTTCTAGTTATTCATACCATACGGCACTGTACCAAGATACCACAGAAAATAATCCTATAATTTTTGTCAGTGCCTTCTTTTAGAGAGGTTTGCAAGTGTAACACACTTGGAATTACAAGTACAATATCATGCCAATCATGATACTTTGAAACAGTTTTCTTTTTTTAATCTATGCTTGAGTTTGAACGAGTGATGCCACACAACCCTATAACCAGGATTTTGGCTACTTCCAGCTTTCTGGGAAAGACTCACTCACCATGCTAAGCTGTTTGCCACTTTACAGCATTAGTTCCGCTGTATCAGGCCTGCAACTATCTTATTTTACTTTCACTTATATTTGCGTGGGGAGGAGGTGGGGGCTGGCATTTATTTGTACTTTGGCTTGTTGGAGACATGAGCATTAAAGTCTTAGTGCAAGTAAAAAAGAAAACCAAGAGAGTATTTCAGAAACTGAATGTGCCAAACCTCTAGGGAATGCAAAGTGTGAATCCTTGTTTTTCCACCATCCTGCACAAAAGAAACCTCCGTTTTTTTTTAAAAAATCACAGAGAAAGGAAGGGGGCTAGTTTTAATTTAGATATAGTAGCTTCCGTTTGAATTAATTAAAAAAAACTTGATCCCTACTTTAATGAAAGAAGAAGGGTACAAAAACTGTTGGGGAAACGGTTATATACCAGACCAAGTTCATCGCATAGCAGCCTGGAAAACGAGAGCAACCTCTACCCCCACCATCCCCCAGACCCATTTCTAGATAAAAGTACAGCGGCAATAGGCAACACCAAAGTCTGTGAGAGCTAATCAAATCAGTCGAAACTGTGCCAGCTAATGCCAGAATGGTCCAGAGAGACTATCAAACCACGGCAACCTTTGGTGGGTGTGCAGAAATGGAGCATCAGGGCAAGTTACACTGGTTTATCACTTAATGCAAGTTACACCTTTTGCTTTAGCAGTGCCTTTTCCTTGAGGACCATAAGACCATCACAATATCCAAGAGGTCTAAAAATATGGAAAGACCTTCATAGTTGGCCACGGGATTATTCATCGGCAGGAGAGGAAAAGGGAATCCCAACATAAGAGCAATGACCAACATTCTGCATCTAACAAGTTATTTTGCAGAGCAAGCCGATGTGCCTCAACACTCCACAGATGTACAGGCAGGCTGCGCAATTTAGGGATGTATTAAATGCCATGCTGAATCCATGGCAGGATTGGAAAAAAAACTTAGGAATTTCTGGCTTTTTTGTGCGATGATTACTGTGAAGTAGGGCTATGTGAAGCTTCGGGAGGTGATTTGATTCGGAGGAGATACAGCCCAATTCGGTGACAATCTCCAAATCAAATCAGGGGACCAATTAAAAGGTCCGAATCTTCACAAAAGATTCGGAGAGCTTCGATGATTCAGACAGTCCCTGGTGGCTGCAGCAGGAAGCTGCAGCTGACTCTGAGCTGGTAAGCACTAGGGGCAGGCAGGGGGGTGGAGGACTGCCGCAGCTCCCAACCCTTTAAAGAAAAGCTCCAGTGCTCACCAGGTGCTGCCAAGTGGGGCGTGATCCCTGCTGCCCCCCGACAGTGTGGGGGGCTCTGCACGAGCCCCTCAACACCCCCCTCCATGCTCCCCCATGCCTGCCCCACCTGCCACAGCTCTGGCCCTTTAAGGAAAAAAAAAACAAACAGAAAAGCCCTGGGACTCTCCACTCCTGCAGCAGCCTTGGGGCTTTGTGGGACTTGTGCAGAGCCCTCCACACAGCGCAGGGCAGCGTGGATCTCCCCACTGGCAGGAGCAGCGAGTCCCAGGGTTTTCTTGGTTTTTTCTTTTTTTCCTTAAAGGGCCAGAGCTGCAACAGGTGGGGAAGCACCAGGACAGCCAGGGGAGTGGACTCATGCAGAGCCTTCCACGGAGCATGGGGCAGTGGGGGGCAGCGGGGATTGCCCCCCAACCTGGCAGCACCCACTGAGTTGAGGCTTTTTTTTTCTTCAAAGTGCCGGGATCTGAGGCAGGCAGGGCAGCCATTGCCGGGCTACGGGGGATAGGCCTGGCTGATTCAGCCGAGTCGATTAGGGACAGTGATCCAAATCACCAAATCGAATCACTGTCCCCCGAATCCGAACCGAATACTAGCCGCTTTGCACAGGCCTACTGTGAAGTACTGTAAACCCTGACAAAAGGATTGTGCTACTGAATCTCGAGAACTCAGTGTTAAAAAACTGTTACAGTATGTGTGCGAAAGAGCTTTAAAACTTACTAAAATTAAACACTAAAGGTTTTTAAATACACATGACCATGCCTTTTTGAGAAGTTAAAGAGAAAATACAGCAGCACTGGAATAGCACTAAGCAAATCTATCCTTGCTTTTCAGAGTGTTGACTTTGTAAGCAGTTATTTGTATAGGGGTATTTCACAACAAAAGTAGTTTTGGGCCCACCTATAAAATGAAGGCAATGTAAAACCCAGAACAGGGTTGAGAAGAGCTTTGTCACTGTTGCACTGTGTAAGACATCTGCATGAACCCTTATCTGTACGTTGCATCTGCCAAGCAGCCAAGTATTATTCATGAGCATTCAACATCCAAAAGCAGAATCTCACCCAGCAAACTGATGATGTAAATGTTCATATTACTTCACTAAAGTGACTGATTTCAAGCAACAAAACATTTTATTAGACACAGCATTGTACAAAATACGCAGAATATCAAACAAAGCACAATATAAAGTTAACATACCTGGAAGATGCAGGCTAGAAAAGGTAGAAAAAATGCTATTACATTCCCGATTCCCTCATGGTCTTCCTGTTGGGGGAAAAGAATGGAAGAAAGAGAATTTAGAAGTTGCATCAGTTAAAATGTTAACTGGGTACTACCTTATGTTTCAAACATGGTACTTCCTCCACTTTGGCACAATCAGTTAATCTGAAGTCAAGACTAATGTTAAATCAATAGCCACTGAAGAAAATGCCCAAAATTGAGAGGTACGTAGCAAGTTATGTCACAAAGTAAAACTACAACTTTTCTAAAAAACATTGTGATTTAGATCAATTCCATGATATGCTTTTCCCCAGATCTGTAATAATAACACATCCAGAACAAGAAGCGTGCACTTTTTTTTAAATGAGTACATTTTTAAATGTGCTACGTTCACATAAGATCACTCCAGGCTGGCAAAAAGATTAAGATTCTCCTTCACCTTTCAAACACAACCTCCTCTTCTACTACACCAAGGGAAAAAAGATTTTGCAGTATACCCTGATGTTCAAACTCTGCCAGATCTAATGCATGAAGTATATTCAGTCACCTACATAAAAGCTTGGTGGACAAATAAAATACCCATTGGAAAGAGTACAACTCAGTTGGCTGTTGCACACACCATGATCTGGCACCTGCATAACTCTCCATCTCTACTTCCCACATCCACATTTCAACCGCAAGTCAAAGTCAGTCCAAAGATACCTGAAAAGAATATTCTGCTAGGTGAACTCCTCGAATGAGATTCAGAGCCCCGCACATTATGTTGAGAACGAGAGACAGTATTCCTATGGCAGTCACCGGTTGCATTCTGTAAGTAGGAACTTCAGATAAGAGAGAAGAAAAAGAGACAGACAATAGTAAAAGTTAGTTTGAATTACTTCCTTTACAGCCAATTCAAATATAGTCTGTGTGATTATGCTACTTTCAAAGCTTCAAGCACTCTGTAGCAAGAAGGACCTACGTTCTGATGCAAGACCCCCTGTTTCTCTGGCACTAGGACTGTTGAATTCTCTGGGGACTTGTAAACTCTGCAGCAGCTTCAAGTAAACTTTGAGCAATTTTTAATGGACAAAAGGACAACATTTGTGGCTGCGTTTGTTATTTTGCTATTTAAAGTCTGATTTTAAACTGCACCTAAAGACGTCAGAACATGACACATATTAGTATTGAAGTTGGGTCACTTCCTTCTCAACAGCACAGCCAGAAGCATTAGCACTCAGAAATTATGGGAGGTAGGTTAGTGTTATGGTACTCAAGACAGACACAGTAAAGCTTTTGGCACTGCAGAGGGGATAGAGATCTCCTTGTTCATGGCTCTCGTGGGCAGAGGCAACTTAATACGTGGCAGTAGAAGTAAGCTGTAACTCCTAGCTCATGACCTCTGCAATCTTCCACAGCAGTACTGTTGGCACTTGCAACCAAAAATGATGGATTAAAGGATATTATCTGCTGACATTTAAGATGCCCTTCAGACCCAGAATGAATGCCACCATTGAGAGTGCTATGAACAGGTACTTTACAGCTCAGTTACTGGGCCTGGATTTCTGCCTGCATCAACATCTAGGGGGAGAAGGGTCTGAAGCTCTCCAGGACCCAATCAAAATGTAGCCAGCTGTTCCCAAACTGTGAAACTGCCACGTTGCACTCACTTCAACCTCCCCCCAACTCTACATGCACACCAGAGCCAAGAAGAGAGAGACATGTGGCTCCACTGGTTTTTATACAGCTGAAAAATTTTCCATGTGGTCAAGTCTTGGTGAAGCAGCTGTCACTGGATTCCAGCACTACTCCGGGGGCAAAGCAGCGGAAGCTATTGTTTTATTTTTCCAATAGTTGGGCAGTCTGAAGAAGGAAAATCACCCCTCCTGATCATGTCCAAAAATGACACCTTGCTTGATCGTGAGTCTAAAGCAAGCCGCACTGTTATTTTACTATAGCGATATGCATCTTTTATAAATCGCTCTGCAATCAACTCATCTGACATCCCCACATCCTTCCTTGCTTTTCTTTCAGAGCTTGTAGCTATATTTATCTTATTAAGCAATAAGCCACATTATGTAGTGCTATTGTACATTATTGCAACACAAGTTTCCAATTAAATAAATGATGTGGGTATCTCATCATTTTAAATGAGACTTGGCTGTTCTTTATTATTCTGGTGCAATGAAATGTAATGGACAAGCTGCTCGCTGAATGACATTTAATTAGATAAGCTGCCCCAATGCGTTTTGCTCTCACGATGCTCTGTGTATACTGTTAGCTGCATATTACCCTTGATAGATTCAATCCAATTATAAAAATGATGGTACACCTACCTCCAACACAGACTGCTGAGCACAAATCATTATTTCACCTTCTTTCATACTAAATAACCTTTGGTTGCAAGATGCTAGGATTCACTTTTAAGCTGACGATTGCCGTTACTGGCATTTACTGTTAGCAACGTAAGAATCATTCTCCCTGCTTGAACTAAGCATGTCACTGCTTTTCCAGTCCCCAATAAGAAACAATGAAAGTCTCAATAGTGTGTTTCAGAAGATGAAGAATCTAGGCTAGAAATTTATGGGGTTTGTCGAGCTGAAGTGTCTCTATGCTCCGACACCAAATAGTTGTCATTGTTTCTTTACTTGCAGTCTTGATTATGGACAAACAATCCTATTAAAAGCAAGTTTACAATGCTGAGACTTACTGTAAAAAACAGGCATGTGGTAATTGCATGTCACCTACAGCATGGTAAATTGCAAAGTTAAACCACCAGGACAGCTTACCCCAGGTGAAAACAGGACAGTTGCCTCACTCTAGCTTTCACTTACCACAGGTTAATCGCAGACCCACACAATTAAAGCACATCAGCTGTCCCACAGTAAGTCTGTGCCACATTAACTCGTTCCATTTTGATCATTAGTCCATTCCCTTCAGCAGAATTTGTGCGCAAAAGCTGAACCACTTTATACCTAAATTGTTTTGACTCCTGCATTGGGATGCTTCACTTTCCTAAGTGATCAAGCTGTACTAGCAGAAAGTATTTTACCCACCCGTACAACTGCACCCACACTAGCGGTTGTATCGATTTGATTACTTTAGTCAAATAAATCACACCCCCATCTAGCTGACAGTTAAATAAGTACAGAAACTGCACATAAGAGGCCTTGGGGATCAAAATTCTGTGATTTTTAATCAGTGGCATGTGCATTCTTCCAGGATGCAAACACTGCTACAAATCCACCCTCAGCAAGTAAGGAAATCAGGGAAACATCTCCTAACAAAACAGATTTTCCAACTCAGCTCTCTGGGGCTATTTAACCAAATACAGGCATAAATGCTTGCAGCAAACCCCAAGCTATTTCATAGATGTTAGGGTCGGAAGGGACCTCCATAGATCATCGACTCCGACCCCCATCATCAAGGTATTGCACCGAAGGTGGGTACCAATGAGTCATACAGAGAAACAGAGAGCACCATTAGCAGGGCAAAATGAGACTCCAACATTTACATGTAAAAATTGGGGAACTATGGCATTTCAAAATAAGCAAGACACTTATGAGGAGAGTATATCACATCCTCCTAAGATATAAGGACTTCTAACTACTGCTTTGCAAAGCTGTTCATGTGAGCATACAGAGAATAATAATTTCAACAGGGAGAACAAAGCTGTACAATTTATTAGTGTGTTTACCAAGCAATTAAGGCAAGATGCTTTTCAACTGATATTATATCTGTTTAAGATGTAAATAGTTGAGAATATTTCCAGTATTTCACATTTTAGTAATACAATGCCCCATTTCCTTCCAGAACTTCATTCGGCTATAGACACCATCGAGACAGGAATTCAGCTTGGAAGAGAGACAACAGCCTCATGCACACTGGCCCAAGAAGCATCTTAAGCAACTTTCTGCTGAAAATTAAATTTAATCATGGTTCTTTAGCTGGGGCAAAAAGGAACCCTCTCACCCTTGCTAGAGAAGACAGGACTACATGGCTAGACTATACTGACTTTGTAGCAACTTTACTGACCTTTCAAACCCCTTCCATGCTAAAAATAAAGACCCAAAGGATTTGGTGACATAACGGTTACCAAGTGTAGAGAGAAACAAACCACATCAGTAGAGGCAAAAGCCTTGAATGGTCCTTGTTTTTCTGTCTATACTATAAGTTTTGAGAAAATACCATTGACAGTTCGGGTGCCCTATTTAGTACAGCTGCCCTGTAGATAGCATAAGTAAGAAAACTAAAGGTCCCATCTCTAGGACTGCTCCAACCACTTGGAGCAGCAGCGCACAATTTGGCTGCTACTGCCAACGGACAAAGAAGAGGCAGACATACTGATGAAAACCGGAAAAACTGACTCTAGCTACAGCACAGAGCTGAACATGAAACCTGTTCTTAAACAAAGGGCAGAACAATATACATAAGTGCCTGTGTTTGACTACTGAAGACTGCCACAATCACAAAGCCAAATGGAAACTGGAGAAATGCCATTACCATATTTACTCAAATAGAAGACGACCCCAAGACAATCCCCCAGTAATTAGATTCGTTATATGGAACATTTATCCATTTGTTATAATTTTCCAGGTACAGGACCTAATGATCGGAGGTTTGTCTTGAATTTGTCCCTCTCCCACTGCTATAGCAGGGAAGACAAATCTGGGTGGGGAGGGGGTCAGGTAGCCCTTTGCTTTCTGCCTCCCCCCAACTTCTTTCCCTGGAAGCCCCTTCCCCCTCTCCCTACTGTGAGACCCTGTTCTCCCTGAGCACTTGGAAGGAAGAAGCACCTTTGAAAACAATAAGCTTGAAATTAAACATGACTGTAGCAATTTGCATACAGTATCTGTGCTCTTAGTTTATCCAGAATTGATGCATATTACCTTTTTTTTTTTTTTTTTGAAACTGCTGCAAGTTTTAGTACAGGTACTCCATAAACGTACTTCTGAGCAGCACGCTGGCACCTGATGTTATGCATGATGTTAGTCCAAAGCCAGAAGCTCATGATTTACTAAAAAGTTCATTGGGCTGGGGCCCGCCAAAGTTAACAGCATCTCAAGCTATGGTGATGCTGTAGCTCAGCACTGCTCAGTATGTGCGTGTACTTCAGATACCTCCACAAAGGATCCATGAGCTAATTACCGCCCCCCTCCCATGAGTGGACCTAGGTGTTCTTGTTACAAGTCCTGGGATGCTCCAAAAAAGTCTATGCAGATGTAGTGCAGGGCAACCTAGTCTGGCTTCACCTCATGGAAGGCAGAGTCACACTAATATGCATCAGGCTGACAGAAAGAGCAACAGAGGGATGGTGGATGAACTGTACGGAACATCGTGGCTCACCATGACTTGTGAAAGAGTTGGCGGCAAGGGGGACTGCACTCAACGGGCATTGCCATATGTGTTATTCAGATAGGCTACACAAACCTACTCTTGTGGTAAGTCCCCATCAGTATGTTCGCCCAATGTGGGCCATGTGTTTTACAATTATGCTCAGCGTTGACTGCGTTTAATCAACTTCATAGCTAGTTTCCATTGCTGAGCACATGCTGTTTTTGGCAGCAGTTTAATGATAGACAACATATTTAGTGAGATTTCGTTGCATGTCATTATAAGACACAGGGCTTCCCCCACCGTGTCAACTGGGGGAAAAACACTCAGATTGTATTCAAATAAATACAGTAAGAATATTGAGATTACGAGTACTGAACGTTTTTCTTATTACTGGTCCAGGACCAGCTTGGAAACATTTACTGATGCTGAAAGCATTTGTACTGATCCAAAGAATTTCAAGACCTGACAAGTCACGAGATGAGGTATTTTCCCTCCAAGCATTGTTCTGAGAAGTAACTATAAAATATGACTTGCTAATTAAATAAGCTTATTTTATAAATTAAGATTTTTCTTTTAGTGCTGTGTAGTCAACCTGAACTACCCAAGTTAGGCTGAGTTCTGACTTGCCCATCAAGAACAATAAGCTGATGCAAATGGAAATAAAATGTATGGTTTATGGAACACCAACAAAGAGAATCCACTTCATCGTCCCATGCCATTGGCAGAATAAAGGCTGCCAGCAATATTAAGCAGACAAGTTTGTTTGGGTAAATCTGATATCTTTTATTAGACCAACTCAAATAGCTGGAAAAATTCTTGTTAGCAAGCTTTCAGGTATAAATACTAAGAAGAATTTTTCCAGCTATTTGAGTTGGTCTAATAAAAGATACCAGATTCACCCAAAGAACCTTGTCTGCCTGTGTCCTTAGACCAACACGGCTACAACCTATACTCATTACAATATTAAACCGCATTTAAATTTCTTTTATTAAGTAAATGAAGCATCAATGACTTTGGATATATCCAGCAACCAACTTACATAAAGCACCATTTTTACAAAAATTATGCACAGTAAGATAACGCTCAGTGTGGGGAAAACATTTCTCAGTATTTGCAAGAAGACACCACCTTGTTAAACCACTTTGTGTTGTTTATACAAGCTGTTTACAGCAGCCTGTAAAATCCCAATTCTGGTTTTTATGAACTGAAGCTTTAAAAATGCAAAGCATTATCTTACCCAACTCCTGGGAAAGAGAGAACGTACAGGGCTGTGAACTAATTCAAGATGCAGGAGATATCTGCCCTGTACTTAAGACGTTTATTGAGTAATTTTCTTCCTTAAACCTAAATTAAATTAAATCAAATTAAATTAAATTTAAACCTAAATTAAATCTAGCCTGGAATTATGCATTGACTCTTTTTTTCTCACAAAGATATAATGACACATTTTCCTCAAGTAAAATTAAAGTTTCAACTTGTTTAAATGCAGGGCAGTCCTGATTATAATGAGCTTCCACATAGACACCGATTTATAGTTAAAAGTGGATAATAGAAGGAGACTTCACCATTTATTGGCCAGAACACAAAGGACTGATGAAAAAGTTTGCCTTTCCCCCAAATGTATGTATTTATATGGATTCCCAAGTACAGCGAAGACCACAGGTTTTCTCCAAACATCCCCCACCCCCACATCAGTGGATGTTCACAAGAGACCTGCATTGCTTATTTTGCGTGCCAGCACTTACCAGACCCCATGTAGAGTTCGGTGTGCCCACCATTAGTCAGCCCATTCATCAGCTCCATATCCTCCAGTTTCAGGAGCACAGGAGGCCTGAACTTCAGCTCTTCCTGAATTTTCTCCAAACTGATCTTCATTTGAGAGCAGCCCGTGTAGTTAAAGTGACATTTCACTTTTTGAATAATATTGTCTGTAAAAAAGGCTTTAATTAGCTCAGGCTTAAATTAAAACATTGGATTGTTAATTAGTATAATTCCTGAAGGTCTTCCCCCTTTGTTTAAGCTTACTAGTAAGAGGTCTAGCATTGTTTTGTTCACCATTTCCAGACAACTATCTTGCCTTCTACTTGCTTTGTAATGCATACAGCTTAGTTCTGGCTGCCAATCAACCACCTAATATGCTTAAAATATGCTAACTATCTTTTAATTAAGCCTACAAACTGTCCTGAAGCTTTGAACACAATTAGATCCCACCTACTCTATGCAACATAAAGGCATCTTTTAATAGTACCAGGTATACTAGATTTACTACACAGAGACCTACAGTTCAAACAGTACTGGCAGTAGCACAGCTTCTCCAGACAGCAGACACCTACATCTGAGACTTGTGCAATACAACACCACGGTAAGTCAGATTTTTATAACACTGTTCACATACAAACCTGTCTTTGCAGGTTTCACAGCTGATTTGATTCAGATTGCCAATGCACTAAGGTGACTAACTTCACTAAGACCTCAGTAATTGTTACCCATCGCTCCAGGGTTTGATCCCATTGTGAATATCACCAATTGTTCTCTCGCCCCATTGATTTTCCCAGTATTGACTTTAAAGTGTTCAGGCTTTTGCACTTCTTAAACACGAAATATTTTTGAAAAAAAATTAGTTCTAGTGTTACTCTGAATACTGGCGCTAGTGAAATGTAGTAATCTACTAACTGAATAAAGGGAATTTGTATTTAAGTCAAATAAAGACGTGATCTTTCAGCTGGAAGCCAAATAAAAAGAGTGACACCATGTTATTTAGGTTGGCTACTGTTGCTATGGAACATCAAACATCTGAGAAAGCCTACAGGAAGATTACAAACTACAACCAATTGCTCCGAAACGGAGAACAGGGCATCAAATGAAAACAGAGGATTTCAAGCCACAACCACTAGAAAAAGCTTAGCACTGAAATATTCAGAGTGAAATAGCTGCAGAGATCCATAACTGCCAAGTAGCTGTTAAGATCTTAAGCTATATTCAGAACGATGCATTCTCCTGGATTTGACTAACCAGCACGTAACAACGTGAAAAGACGACGAGACGGGGAAAAACGTGATACTGAATACAGAAAAGATGCAAGGAACCCAGAACTTCTACATATTGCTCTCTCAATAAATGGCCAAAAAATCCCCAAGCCAAAAATGCAGAAGTATGCAAGTTCAGCATAGAAACATGCCAAAATTAGTGTGTGGCCTGCAGCCACTTCCCTCATAAAGAAAGACTTCCACACACCATGTTTTTCTCTAGGGACTTATTGTTGGATGCAGGACCTGAACTTTCTTATTTCAAAGCTGGATGCTACCAAAAAACCAATGCATTCTCTCACCACTCAGAGTATGGATTCTCTCATAAAAAGGGGATTGAAGTGAACTAGATTTTTCAAAATAGTGAGGATCACCCAAACCAACCATGCATTTACATCCACAAAGAGAAACCCATCCTGTATGATCAAATGTTTCAATGCAGCACTTAGGTTCCTATATCATCTTCCAGTGTTTTGTGCTCTCAGTCTCCTTCTGTTGTGATTTGTCTTAAATTATAAAACGCACAGGGCAAGGACAGTCTTTTTGATCTGTGCTTCTACAACAAGCACAAGATGACACTCGTCTATACCTGAGGCTCTTGGGTACCACCACAACAATAATCTATTTGGTTTCACATAATTAAGAGTCATTTCTCCCCTTCTGCTCCCTCTGCTTTCTCCCTATCTGCTCCCTTCCATCCAAGTAAAGCCACTGTATATGATTAGGCATTACCATTGATCCTCATTATAACCAATCAGTTTGCTACTAGAAAGAAAAAGACTAACAAGGGAATAAAACTACAAACCAAATTCGAGAAAAGCATATGGTCTGGAAGCCAAACCTATGCTTGTAGTGTCATAGGCAGCAGCAAATTCCCACTGGAGCTCCTCCAGGAAGCAAAATGCCATGATGGTCGAGTAACTGCTGGAACAGATCACCATGGAGGCGACTTCCCCAGAAGAGAGAAAACTGAAAAGAAAAATACCCATTATAAGTCACAAAAATGTAGCAGGATCCTGGAATCAAAAACGAGTCAGAAAAACATACCAGGAAGGGGGGGAAAAGCAAACAAACAAACGAACACTGCGCATCTGGTTTGTGTGTCAATTCTAGCTCTGTGTAAAGAGAGCTAGTCTCCATTTCAATAAAAAAAAGCCTTTTCCAATTCATCATTCATTCAAAGCATTTATGCCCCGCCCCCACCACCACTTTGTGCTCTTCTTCATTACAAAGAGCATTAAATCTAAAACGTGTTGCTGACAATGTTGTAAGATTAGAAATAGCATCTTAATTCATGCCTTGTAACATCTGCTCTAGAGGAAGACTAATTAAAATGGTAGCTCTTTTTTCACTCAGTGAACACAGATTCATTCAATCTCTACTCATACAACAACGCCCACTCCCACCACTACTTACAAGTTTTAGTTCGGGACTCCTGCACGCAGCGCTCAAACTCTAACCAGAAGTGCAGGCTCAGATATGAGCTAAGATAAAAGCACTGAATTAAAGCCCAAAGATTATGGTTGTAAAAATTAAATAGCAATGAATATTCCTTTTAGGAGTTGCCAGAATACCCAAGATATATACTTTTCTTAACATAAAGTCGGTTCATTTTTTCTCGCATCCTTTCCTCATAACACTAAAAAACAATCTCCTAGAAAACAGGTTTCTTAATTTCTTGTCCACAAATCTTAAGAATTCAAAGTCTACAATTTTCAAGTTTTACAAGGCAACATTACTTATAATTGACAGGGGAAGGTTTGTTGTTCGCCAGGACTTGTAGCTTACTAATTACGTTAGCTGTGCATATTATGGCACATATCTTATGGTACGCCAGAGGCAAGGATCGGAATAATTCTGCTACCAAATTAGAGTTTCAGAAGTGTAACTTTGCAAAGGGTAAATTATTAACCAATCCATGTCACAATGTCAAGAGGTTTCAAATGGATTCTGACAGGGGTCTGTCCTGTGCCCAGTGCTGTTCAACATGGTTATTAATGGGTTTAGATGCTGGCATAAAAAGCTTCTTGAGGAAGTCTGCAGATGACCTAAAACTGGGAAGGACTGTGAACATGCTGGAGGATGGGAGCACAACAAAGCAGGATCCCAAAAGACTAGGAAAAACTGTTTAAAATTTCCAGTTTAGGGAAAAAACTCTCGCAAAGAGGGTAGCAAAGCACTGGAACAGGCTACCCAGAGAGGTGGTAGACTCTCCATCCTTGGAGGTTTTTAAGACCCAGTAGACAAAGCCTTGGCTGGGATGATGTAGTTGGGGCTGGTCCTGCTTTGAACAGAGGGTTGAACTAGATGTGACCTCCTGAGGTCCCTTCCAGCCCTCATTTTCTATGGTTCTATGATTGGAAAGCTGAGACGGAGCCAATACAGACAAATGCAAGGCACTACACCTCAGGAAGAAACCCCACAAATAACCCCACAAATAAAACCCCACAAACAAAAAAACCCCCACAAATACAAAATGGGTAATATACCTGGCTGTATGGCAGCACTATGGAGAAAGATCTGGGAATCGTGGTAGATCAAAGACTCGATACGAGTCTGCGCTGTGATACAGCTGCACAACAGGTAAATGTGATGTTGGGATGCATCAATCAAAGCTTGAGGAGCAAGACATAGGAGCTGATAGTGTCTCTCTACTCTACACCGGTTAGGCCTCAGCTGGAGTACGGTGGGCAGTTCTGGGCTCCACATTTTAAAAAGAATGAGGAGACATTAGACAGGATGCAGAGGCGGGCAACAAAGATAATAAACAGCTTGGAAAGCAAGTCATATGAGGAGAGGCTAAAGGAGCTAGGTGTGTTCAACTTGCAGAAAAGGCACTTAAGAAGGGACACGACATCAGTCTTCAAATACCTGAACTGCCATTAAGAAAAGGAAAAGTATCTTCTCTCTCTTACTGCAGAAAGGAAGACATGGACAATGGCTTGAAGTCGCAGCACAGTAGGTTTAGGTTGGATATCGGGAAAAACATCTTCACTGTTAGAGTAGTGAGGCAGTGGAAAAAATGCCTAGGAAAGTTGTGGACTCTCCATCACAGGAGGTCTTCAAGAAGTTGGACAGCCACTGGTTCAGGATGATCTAGGTGCACCTATACTTATGTTTTACTATGGGCATTTCCCAAGCTTCCAGGTTTTGCTAGTTGCCTCCTCCACTGTCTTACGTATCAGCCTGCTTTTAAGCCTCCCTCAGAAGCACTGGGTGTTGACTGCAGCCAAGTCTTGGGATTTTGACTGGGCTGTGACAATTCTCCTGCTGGGACTAAAGCTAGAGACTCCTGGCTAGAGGTTCTTGCCCCCCTTTGCACGATCCCTGTGCAATGAACATTTATGGTCGGGAAGTAACTTTCCCCACGATCAGATTGGTATGGACTATGAGGTTTTTGCCTTCTTCTGTAGCAGGGGGCATGGCCCTCTACCTGGGATCCCATGAGCATTTATTGACAAGATTTCATAGAAGCAGGATATTGGCTGCTGTGGTTCCCCTGATCTACCTGGGGCAGGTTAGGGTTGATAATAGTTTTTGGAAGAGTTTAAATTACAGACTGTACAAGATGGTTTGGATAGGGATAATCCTCCCTCAAGCAGAGGGCTGGACTAGATGGCATCTGGAGATACCATCCAGCCCTACTTCTCTAAGTGCCTAAGAGAAGACTACATCCAAAAAAAGGACTTAGATAGCTGTTAGTCACCACAATGCTAACACTGTCTCCTGGCCCCCAGAATGGAATACAAACTCAAAGCGTCGGGCACGCGGGCTCCCTACACCCTGAGTGGGAAAAGATGAGAAGATGAGTGCCTTAGAAGAAGGAGCCAAAACAGCCAGCACACTGAGCAAGAAGGTAGGAAGTCAACAGGAAACAGCAAGCACAGGGTCATGTCTGAAATCCTGCCCCTACGTAGAGCTCAGGTGCACAAAGTAAAGCCAGAGTCAGGATCCAGAGCCAAGGATCCCCTTCTGAAAGTAATCACCAACCAAGCTCACTGGTTTCTTTTGAAACTATGAAAGCATGGCAGCATCACTGCCACATTCTCCGGCTGCTTAATACATAATAGGTAGCCAGCGGTAGGATTTGCCTCAGAACTGGGAAACCAGGGCTCCTCAGCCAGAGGGAATTTTAATCTATATCCCAAACCTCCCAAGATAATGTCCTAAGAACCTGCCTATATGCTGGGCTGGGCAGGAGCCCTCCCCAACCCTTGAGGCTGGGACACTGCAGAAAGGAGTTGGAGAATCATGAGGCCTGAAAATGTACGTGAGCAAGAGGAAGCATGGCCTGAAGGGCAGTAGCGAGGGCACTCACTTGAAAGGAAAGTCCTAGATTACAAAAGGAATCGGAACTCATGGTAGAAGCGATGTCTTTTATTAGACCACCTAGATTTTTGCAAATAGAAGTTTAGTTAATTGCAAGCTTTCGGGCACAAGCATAGGAGAAAAGATTGCACAAGTTTTCCTGGGTAAAAATGAAAGTTCATATTTCATAGGAGAGTTGAAGGTGTGGTCAAATCTCCTGCTTGGAATACACCCAAGGTTAGCAGTATTATTATTGCAGGGACTCTTCCATGTAAAATAGAAGCTCCTTCTTGTGCCCTTTCATCCTGGCAGTGCTTTTTGCACCGTGGCACAGCACTAACAGGGAACCACAGACTGTAGCCCCACCCAGCCTACCTTATAAACCCATGTTGAAGGAACTCTTTAGAGGCGATAGAAAGGGATTTGTACCCCTTCTAGCTGAGGAGGGCACAGAACACTGGTCTCCCACCATCCGGGCAAGAGCTCAGGTAGACCACTAAGCTACTACACAGTAAGATGAGCTCTAACGTAACGTTTTTGTCCAACCACATATTAGTACGTAAGCACCTATGACTGCATTTTTATAGACCTGATTTTGTTCCAAAGTATGCCAACACCTACTGGATTTTGCCTTTCTGGGGACCTAAGTACTTGCTCAACCTAATTTCTGGACCACTAGGGAACTTCCAGGGAGGCATCATCAAGTATAGGCACCTCCAGTGTTAAGCAGATTATGAACAGGGGTCTGGGGATTGTAATTTTGGACTTAAGCAGACTTTAGGCACCTCATCTTTTCTTGATTCTGGTCCCTAGGTGGGAGGCTCCTATTTGAAATCAGTTATGTAAGCCTGAGCCACAGGGCATACCGTTGCTGGTCCTGGAAAGCATAGTAAATGGGTTTTAGAATCTATTTGTTGCGTAAAAACAGACGGCTGGTACTTATTAAAAAAAAAAATAATGTATCTCAACATATGCCTGCTGTGCTCAGTCGGAGTCGCATGGCTGAAGTGCCAAATGAAACAGGATAATCACAGATCTCAAAAAGCACTGTTAGCAGTTTAAAATCTAGATCCGTGGGTTGAGATTTTAAGAACCACCTAAGAGTGTTAGACCCAAGAAGACATGTTCCCTCTGGAGGAAGTAGAGAAAAAAATTAAATGACACTGTATGAAATGAAATAATGACTGACAGGGTGAAAAATAGAAAGAGGAATTTTGTTATACGTGATCAAGACTAGTATATCTGAAGTGTTACTTCTCAGACTTGGGTATTCACCAATCTGAGCATTATATCTACACACAATGACCCAACAAAGGCAGCTTTGTTTTCATCAAATACTCCCAGAGTCAACACAAGCCCAAGCTGGTTCTTAAGCCAAAGAAAGTGGCTTCCCATGATTTAGTTGGAAGGGCAATTTGACTATAAATGTGCACGTATAGTTTTGCAGGCCAGGCTAAGGAGACTACAGAAGAATGCCAAAACCTTAATTAAAACTGAAGGATATTTTAAAATCTAGTTTATTACCTTATTCAGGTAGAGTTAAGAGTTATTTTTATATTAACAACCAGTCTAAGAGTCTTAAAGTGTGTGTTAGGATGCTTAAGATAGCAGGAGAGGGCAGGAGAGATACAGATCAAATGCAAGAAGATAACAAGGAGGGAATTAAGTGCATGTAACTAACTGATAATACAAACAGTCCTTTGCATTCATATTTTACATATAGGCATGTTCTAGGTACTCTTGAATCATACAAAGTAAAGAAAAACAAGATCGCTTATCATTAAACTAATGGCAAGAGAGCAAACACTTGTGTAAAGTAAAGGTCGAAAGAAAAATGATGGCTTACTGTATGCTGAGATCACGTCCTCTTGCTGTACCTCGACTGGGATACTGTGTCAGAATTAAGGATAATGCTTTTAATCTCTTCCTGCATTCTAGAAAGTCTTGGCTGAGATGAAAATCCGTTGAGGCTGAGAGTGGGAGTCCGTCCCTCACCCGCACCACACAGGCAAAGAAGATCATGGACATCCTCCGCAGGGGTACTCATGAGGACAACCTGGAAACAATGAGAGCGAAGGTGAGACCGCATCATTTACATAACAGCGTAATATGCAACCCGGTAGCCTGTTAAAGCATCTGTTTAACAGTTTCAGCACTGGGGTACTGAACAGTACCCCATCAACCTTTAAAAGTACATCTAAGAAGTTTTTAAGTTCTTTAAAAAACAAAACACAACACAACACACACAACCTGGAATTGTACCCTTTTTTCTGCTTCCTGCTAAGATATAAAAATATCCTCAAAAGTTTTGTCCTTGGAAGAATTCATCAACTTTTTCCTCTCCGTTCACCCCAAAAATGTCAGCAACATTGAGGGATGTTTCTAAAAGTGCAAATGGCAGCTGGGCACCTACTTCCGTAAGACAAGTAGTAATTTCAATAGTCTTCCAGGCATTTAGTATTGTAGTCAAGACCTGCATTTCTAGCATGAACACAGATATGAAATAAGTGTTCTGACTGACATCTTCTAGACCTTTTTTATAGGTTACATAAAAAAGAAGAGAAGACTATCTTAATTCTCTCTATTTAGCAGGTCATTTAACAGCAAATTAAGCATCAGGACTTACCTAATGCATGCAAGAAGCATAGCAGATGTGTCCCCCAAAGTGACAAAGTGTTCAGCAAAAATGCCAATAAAGGTCTTACAAGGTTCTTTGGGTAAAAAGGATATCTTTTATTAGACTAACTAAATAGTTGGAAAAATTGTTCTTTGCAAGACACAAACCCTCTCCTTCAGGCAGAGGGAGAGTCTCTTCCTACTGAACAGGGGTGTTTGCGGCTGAAAGCTTGCAAAAAACAATTTCTCCAACTATTTCGTTCGTTTAATAAAATATTTCACATTTACCTGAAGAACACTGTCTGCCCATGTCCTTAGACCAACACAGCTACAACCAACAACCCTAAATAAAAGTCTTAGGCCCATACTGCACTACTGCATTTAGGTGCTGCAATGTCTCATGCTAGGCACCTAGACCCCAGAGCAGAATCAAAAACCCACTTAGGTGTCTAGGCTCCCTCTGCAAGTCAATAGGGAGTCAGGCACTACAGACAGATCCAAAAACCCTGCACATTGGGTGGGGAGATGTCGAGAGCCACCCAATGAGAAACAGTGAGCACATGGGTACATCCAAACTTCCACTGCTCTCCAGGCTTTGGCAACAAGGCCTTATCTAACCTAGGCTGCTTCATATGTCAGAAGTTCCTCTAGCAGACGAGAAGGCGTCACAAGAGACAGAACCAGACCGGACGCATGGTCATGGCTCTCATCAAAACTGCATGACACCCCTACAACAGCCACACCAGTCGAAGGTGAACAATGCTCACAGCTTTGCTGGCAAACCTATGCCAAGCCAAAGTCATAGCTGTAGGCAGGCCGCTCCATCTACGCCAAATGCAGATCTCACAGTCATCCCTTGAGATTAAAATGCTGTCTACGATTCATCGAAAGAACTATGCAAGCAATCACTGTTTTTCTCTTCAAATGTGGCTGCCAGGGCAGGAGGAAGAGGCTGCCCACCTTTCTACAACAGCCTAGCAACTAGAGCGCTTGCCCAGGAAAAGGGAGACCCACTTCTATGCCCTCACTGACTGCAGGGGTTTAAACGAACATCTCACGGGACAGTGCCTGAACCACCAAGGCAGGTGGAATGAGCAGCCTCTGTGGCATGCAGAGGATTGGGGCGGCAGCACAGCAGCAGACAGGACAGAAAGCAATGCAGATCAGGCAGGGGGAGGGGATCAGACTGGCACAGGAGGAAGGTGTGGGGTTAATTTGTGTCACGCCTGCCAGAAAGGTTGACCCAGGGTGTACCAAGGGAGGAGGGGAAGTGCAGATGGTGAAGTGCACCATCACAGATAAAACAATACATATTTTTCTCCAGTTAAAAATGAACTTGAAGTAGGGGTGCACCGATAAAGATTTTTTGGCTGATGCCAACAGCCAATTATTTACTAACCATATCAGCCAATACTATACCAATAGCCGACATGCAGCCCAACAGCTTGGAGAGCAGCATCCTGCCTCTAAGTCTAGGGGGGGAGGGAAGAGGCGTGGGTGGAGGGAAAGGGAATGGGGTGGGGTGCAGATTGAGGCCCCCATGCTGAGGGAGGGAGTGGGGCAGGCGCTGCCCAGCCAGGGCAGTGAATGCAACCCCCCTGGGAATGGGGTACAGCTGTGGGCGGCTTGTCCAGGGTGGGCACAGGGGGCTGAGAAGGAGGGAGCAGCTCCCCGCCACTGCACACACACCCAGGGGAGACATGGGGGGCATGTGCCCCCCGGATCTGTGCACGGGGTGAGGGCCAGCTGCCCGCTGCCGGCTTGGGGCCAGGGGCTGTGCTGATCTCTTCCCAGCAGGGGGACTGGGCCAGGGCAGGCAGCAGCAGCACTGAGAGGGGTGGATACAGGGTGGGCTATAGCCACACCAAAATTTCCGATAGCCAACCCACAGCCCCCTTTCCCAGTGCCACCACTGCCCACCCTGAATGCAGCCCTGGCCCATCCCCCCCGCCAGGAAAAAGCCAGCACAGCCCCTGGCCCTGAGCCCACAGTGGGCAGCCCACCCTCGCCCCGTGCACATATCCAGGGGAGCACATGCCTCCCTTAGGGGTGCATGCAGCAGCAGAGGATCACCCACCCCTCCCACGCCCCCTCCCCAGTCTCCCGCACCCCCTGGACGAGCCACCCACTACTCTGCCTCACTCCCGGGGGGTCACATTCAGTGCCTCCCCTGCCCCACTCCCTCCCTCACTGTGGGGGACTCAATCTACACCCTCCATCCCTTCCCCCTCAAAGACATACCAGACGGATGCTGCTCTCCACACCGCCGAGCTGCACTCCTGGCCATGCGCATGTTGCGACTGTGTGCATGCACACAGCATTTATCGGTGACATTACCGGCTACGCCAGCCAAAAATGCCGATTGCCGATGATGTTAATTTTCCTTTTATCGGTGCTGATCCGATATGGACCACTATATCGGTGTACCTTTAACTAGAAGCTTTACTCATATGCCAGGGGCCTAAACCAGTATTATTCAGTTTAAGATTAATCCAAGGATAGCTTCACTGGTGGACCACCATGACTATTAAAAAGAAGCGAGGGTCGTTATCACCTATGGAATAAAGAGTTTAGACGGGATCAGGTGGATTGTAATGACCCATGAAGTCAAGTGGCTCCCTCAGTACTGTATGACTAAAAATACTGCTGCCACTCCCAGGCAGTTGCTTTTAAGTTTTGGGTGGAAAAGTAATCAAAGGAGGATGCAAGTGTCCCAGTGCACCCTCTCTCTCCTTGGATCTACCCCTGGGTATAAAAGTCCCACCGCTCACGCAGGTTTCTAACCTGTGTACAGGACCTCCACCTGACACAGGAGGTACACGGTCCCACTAGGGGGAATGCCATACTGGATCTGGTATTGGCAACAGGGGATGACATGGTAGGGGACCTACAGATCGGTAGCCATCTGGGGGACAGTGATCACCTAATAATAGAATTCACTGTAAGACGTCGAGTGGGTAAGGTAACTAGTAGGGTGAAAGTGCTAGACTTTAGGAAAGCTGATTTCAATGAACTCAGGCGATTAGTCAAGGACGCACTGCAGAGTAGGAGTTTTGAAGCGATGGGAGCCCAAGAAGGGCGGCTGTGCCTTAAGGAAACGATCCTTTGGGCACAAAGCAAGACGATCCCTGAGCGAGGCAAAAGACGGAAAGGGGCCAGGAGGCTTCCCTGGCTGACCAGAGAAATCCAGGGCAGCCTAAGGGCCAAAAGGGGAGCACATAAAAAGTGGATACAGGGAGAGATCACCAAAGACGAATACACCTCCTCTGCTCGTGCTTGTAGGGAGGCAGTTAGACGGGCCAAAGCTACCATGGAGCTGAGGATGGCATCCCAAGTAAAAGACAACAAGAAATTGTTTTTTAGATATATAGGGAGTAAAAGGAAGGCCCAGGGAGAAATAGGACCCCTGCTAAATGGGCAGAAACAATTAGTGAAGGACAGAGGGGACAAGGCTGAACTCCTCAACGAGTTCGTTGCCTCAGTGTTCCTAAG